CCTGAAGAGTTAAACGATAGCCAAAGGCGAGCTGTCAGTGCTGCCCTCAACAAAAGGCGCCCATTTGTGACCATTCAGGGCCCGCCAGGAACAGGTAAAACTAGAGTTGTGGCGGAGATAGTGCGGCAATTGTACAAGAAGAAGCAAAAGGTAAGTTCTGATCTTTGTCTCTACTTCATATTTTATGTATGCTATTTAGATTTTGGTATGTGCGCCTTCCCATGTAGCTATAGAAAAAGTAATGTCAGAGGTACTAAAATATTTTGACGACCCTGAATATGTTGAAGATTCACTTGTTGACAAGGAGAAGGGTTAGTTTGTTCTTTATCTTGTGTAGCTTCATATCTTCTTGCAAATTATAGTTTAGATTTGATTGCTAATGCTGAAACAATTGAGGACGCGATCTGCTCCCATGACAGATACATGGATCTTTGTGAATTATTTGATAGAATGGTGAGCCTTTTTACACCGCTCCTTTCTATGTTTAATTTTGATCTATTTCATATATATTGTCTGGTCTTTCTCCCACAGTTGTTTCTCATTTCTTGGCAACGCCTAATCGGTTTTTTCACAGTCTACATTGTTAACGTGTAACACTTCGTCCTCACGCTCTAAATGCTATGGAAATTTTGCACCTCGAGAAACCATTTAATGCTTTATCAAATTAAGGTCCATTAGCATCCTCGAATATGGTTTCTATTGCAACTATTTCTATGCCATAGTGCAAATTTTCATTGTCAATCCCCAAAAGCTGTTGGTACTCTCGTAGGCAAAGGAGGAACAATTTTGTCATCCCATTACTATAACTCATCTCGTTTACCCACTTTCAAGCCAAATTCTCCTTCCTTCCAACATGAATTGGAAAACTCTCAATGATTTATTCGTTCTTTTTCCAACAATTTTTGTTAACTTGTTAGTTGGCAACTTGCAACCTTTGAACAGTCTTTTTCTCATCTACTTCATCTCTTATTATTTTAGTCTTTTTAACTCTCTATCGTGCCATCTCATGTTTCGCAAATTTCCCCAAAACCCAATTTTGTTTTAATGTTACGTGATGGTTGCGCACAGCCAGTTTCGAGTGTGCGCTTTATTTCTGTACCTTGATAGTAGGGCACGACATG